TGTTGCCCCATAATTATAACTTTTTATTTAAAAAAACCGACCTTAAAAGTCAGTGGAATTATATTTATTTGCAAAGTTTTATTGAAATTGGTTAACGGAAAATGTATGAAATCCAATAAATCGGATTCATCCCCAAATTTTCCACCCATAAGTGGAAATATTTTCTCAAATTTGAATGAGACCACTAATGAGGTATCCCTTTCCTACAAAAAAAAAGAAGCATCGAAATCGGTTCACAAAAGTCGTAGCAATCGCGTAATATGTACAAAAAAATACAGTCGAATTGATAACCTCCTCCTTTTTTGAAATCGGTTAAAAAGCCGAATACTAATAATTTCAAATAAAACTAAAACAATCTTAAAAGAGTTTGCTATACAGATTTATCTAAAGTTATCTTTTTGAAGATAGTCCTATCTCCAATCTTGTCTTATCTTTTTATCGGTAACACAGATGTCATGTTGTAACCTGCGCTTTGCGAGATGATAGCTGTATCACGTTTTATTACCAAAAACCTTGTAAAATAATGTAGTAATAGTGTAACAGGCAGTAGTTGTGATAATATTAATTGGAAATGATAAGCTTCTAGTGTACGATAAAAGGTCTTTCATAAGCTAATATTTCATTGTTATTATATACCGAAAAATCACATACGGTGCAAGTAGTGTACAATATCCAACTACAATTTTACTACAATTTATCCGACATGCATCATGTTTTTGAGCGTATAAATCAAGTTTACTGAGAAAAAAGAATTTTACTTGTCATGGAATACTTTTAACTAAACAGATTATCGCAATTGTTACATATTAGATTTTTTATGGAATCTAATTATTAAAATTTATTTATTTATTGATTTAAATCAGACAACTATGGACCCACATAATATATACCTTAAAAACGAACATACATGTAATACAATATATTAAAAAAATTAAATAACTAATCTACACGAATTCTAAATCTAAATGGCGTACTATTTATTTCTGTTTTAATTTATTTCTAATTCCCTAACTAATCAATTTAATTTAGTAAAACATTTCATATTTTAAAATAAAATATTTGCAAATCGTATATAGCTTGAATTGGAATGTTTTTTGGTAAAATAAAAATAAGGTACAATTATTAATACAAATATTGAACATTATGAAAAATAACCCTCAATCCGGTTGGATTTGAACGGGCGCCTTCAGCAAACTGTGCCTGATTCTCTCCCAACGGAGCTACGGAACGAACCAGCAGACATTACGAATTTTTCCTAAGTGCTTTTTGCAGATCTTCGTTTTTTAATTTTTAATAATTTTTTTGCCGTAATACCTGATCTGAGAGAAGTCTATGAAAGTTTTTTTTTTATTGAATATCTGTAAAACTCAGTAAAATATCACAATGATATTAACCAAACTTAGTATTAAAGATAAAGTATTTAAATTAATAACTTTTGTAACTATAGTTCCATTATAGGGTAGTGTGCATTAATATCAGATGTAACTGGTTGATGACTTTATCATCTCGGTCAGCAGTGACCATGCGCCATATAAGAAGCCCGAAACGTTGGAAAAGATAGTTTTATTTCCAACCTTAAAACATACCCTATAAGTGATAAACTGGCAGGTACACTTTCATTTCTCTTATGTTTTTATACCAAAGCGATAATCCAAGAAACTAGTCTTAAAAATTCCAGTTTTAAAAGTACAAAATCCGACATATCAAGGCATACGTATATATAGAATAGATATACGTATATATACGTAGATATAAAATGGGATAAGACGAAAATTACAGTAATCCGGTGAGTGACATGCGGCGAAACTTTTGAATTAACTCCGACTGTGAAAGTACTAAGTGGCAAGCCGGCAAGTCTGTGGCAAGCTTTGATACAGAGACAGAAACTAATGTGTTTAATATTAGTAAATATTTGGTTTCAAAATGCAGCGTTATTTCTGTTTTTTCATACTTACTTTGCAAAAATTACTTTAAACTTTTTTTATATAATACCAAGTGACGAGACGAACAAGTCGTGCGCCTGGCGCAATGACAGTTGCAGAGCCACTCAAAGCTTTAAATGGCAAAACTCTTCGGAGCACTGCCACTGCGCACGTCATCCTGAGACATAAGTTGACTAGTCCTATGTGCCTGTAATTTGACCAGTCTTACCCTTTCCAGACCGGAACGCAGTAATGCTCACATTACTGCTTGGCGGCAGTTATAGGTTTTATATCGGGTTCCGAGGTTTTCGCAATTGTTACACATAGGAAGTGCAACTATTTTTTCAGATCTAAATGCCATAAAATTAATTAAAAAACTTATATTATTAAAAAACGTTCATAGATTTCTTTCTGATAGTGCTTCGGCAAAAAATCGTTCAAATCAAAAACAAAGATCTGCAACCAAGCACATGTCCCATGGTCACGTGGTTTAAATTTCTGCGCAGCACTTTCGTAAAATTCTCTCTCGATTTTTAGTTTAAGTCTTTAAGTAAAATTAAATAAAGAAATATTTTGTGACACCGATTAGTTAAAATTCAAGATTTGCAAGACCATAAAATAAATTGACTAGAAAGAAATCTTAAATTTACGTGGGGCGCACTATAATTTTCCGGAATTAATAAGAAAAAAATACTATAAATGCAATGATAAATGGTCAGAAATGAATTCATTGTTTCTCAAAATATTGTCCGTTAGCGTTAATGCACTTTTTCATACGAATGAACCAATTTTAAAAACATTTGTGCCACTCCTCCGTGACAATCTCTGAAACATATTTTTCATACTCTTCGACAGGTGACGAAAATCGTTGACCGCGTAACTGGTCCTTAATTTTTGGAAATAAATAAAAGTAATAAGGTGCCAGGTCGAGACTGTATCCTAGATGGCTTATAAAGTCAACGTTGTTCACCTTCAAAAATTAATTTGTCCGTTTGGCCGTGTGAGAACATTCAGCATTATCGTGGTGCAAGATGATACGGCGTTTACGGTTATTTTTACGGAGTTTGTCAATAACTTCCGGCTAACAAATGGTCGTGTACCAATCACTATTCACGGCACAACGATTCTCCAAAGCAACAGCAGCCACGTGTCCAGTTTTAATAAAAAAAGAAGCAATTATCCGCTTAGAGGCACCTTGCATACGCGCCACTTTGGTTGGTTTCGGCTCATCTCGAAAGACCTATACGCTCGATTGCTGCTTTGTTTTGGGATCGTAACTATAAATCCAGGTTTCGTCACCTGTTACTATGTCCCACACTAAATTTGACGCACCTTCGTTGAATCTGGAAAGCATGGCATTGCACCAAGTGACGCGATCCGTTTTTTGAGCCTCAGTTCATTTATGTGAGATCCACCGAAAGCACAGCCTTTTCACACCCAAATGTTTATGTAGTATTGATTATACTTGACTCATGTCTATACCTAAAAATGCCCGAATCACATGGTATGTCACGTGCCTGTCTGTTTTGATCATGTTTTGATCTTAAGGCTCACAGCATCGAAGTTTTTGTTGTTCACAGCGGTGGACGGGCGACCATCACGAAATTCGTCACTAAGGTTCACTAGGGTTGGATTCTGCAAACCAGCTATAAATAGTCGTCTTGCATGGTGCTTTAGCGTCAAAAGCAGTTTGCCGAGCGAACCTCCGCTGAGCTGTTAAATTACACTTAAAGTCGTAGAAAATCATACTACGAAAATGTTCACGAATTAAATCCATGGTGATGTAGACAACCAATTTCTAAAATGACGCCACAATGTAAAAACAAGTGTCAGTCAGATGAAACAAACTGTATTCTACAGCCAAAGAATTCCATTTTCAAATGTTGTAATTACTTTTTAAATATTGTTTATGTAAGTGGGTTTCGCTCTGGACCTTTTGGAGGGAAAAGTGTTGTTTTTATTTTGACTTTCAATTATTTTGTGAAATCTAGTTTAAAGTGGAATAGGATAGTGCTATTGTGCCTTAATCGAAGATTAAAACGCGAAATTATACGAATCTCGAACTAAAATACCCGCATCGGCCCGTTTTAAGGAATCCCGAGTCAATCCAAGCACGCCGCCTCAAATTGCCTATCCTCTTTGTGGCGGCCATGTTTACAGAAACATATTTAAACTTCATGTTTAGGCTGATGGCTTTGCCAAAGCCTTAATAAATTTAAAAAAAAAATTATGTAAGTGGCCAGTTCCGGAAACTTATAGTGCACCCTATGTATGATACCTATCTGTAGATTGATATTTTGCTTTTAACTTTGTTACCGTTTTATTGTTAGTTAAACTGGACTTAAAGCCTACTTAGTTAGGTAGGTAGTACTATAAAAAAAATTAATAACCCACTGCTACTATAACTGAGATAAGGGCGTGGAAACCTGACAGAAATATGAGACATATTGAATTGTTCCAAGTTAATGTACTACAGAATTGACGTAAATTCCGTAGAGCCCCAAATAAATTCGTATACACATATTATAACATATGTAACAGACAAGACATTGTAATGTACCGATACATATTAATTTATCTGTCAATTGTACTTTATTTCTCGAGTCTTTTTTTTGAGACCATACTTCACGCGCAGGAACGAAATTCTACGATAACTATGACTCTACATGCAAGTAGATAAAACTATTTGTTTAATACAATATCTATGTACGCCGTATTGATCCTATTTACAATGACTCAAATATAACCATAATTGCACAACACAAATAATACTCGACCTATAAACCGAAACTACCGGGCTACGGGGCTGCGTAGATGCAACGAACGCTACGGGCGTAGCTCTAGACCTCGATGCGCATTGTAAATCTTATATGGTTAATGACAAGTGTCCTTAAACTTGTGAAGCGAGCACGGTAGAATGGGCAAGTGCAGGCCCAGTCCCCGTGACCTACATCCGCCGACCCTAGCGCGGGAAGCTGCTAATTTCCACCATCGCGGGCCGCAGACGTCACGGCGGGGGGTGCGGGTGCCGCCTGCCGCTGCCGGCCCGCTGGCTGCTCGCTCGACTCCGGCCAGTCCACCGCCCCACTCCGACCTGCAAGCACGCGTCGAACGCGGCTCCTACACCACCGGATAATACACGCGAAACAAACCTCACAAACGCCGCCTGATAGCAGAGTGTTACAACCCGTATTTTTGTAAAGTGATAAGGGTGAAAGTATTTTTTTATTAAAATTGTGATAAGTCAGGCGAGCGGAGGCTCGGGTGGGGCGCGTTCCGCTGACACAGTGGCTCAGTCAGCCGCCGGTCGCCGAGTGGCAAGCACCATCGATTTTCTCCATACGGCCGTACGCGAGGTACGTAACTATCACGTGCTCGTATTTTCATCGCGGCTATTTCCAAGCGCGAGTATTTTCAGGCGATCTGCTAAGCGTTCAAGGCCGCCTATGTTTGCGTTCGCGTTTACGTTGGGTTACGTTTATGTTTTGATCATTTGTTTAGATCGTATACAACGTCTGTCACGTGTCATTTCCTCGAGAAGAAAACGAATCGTTTTCACGGCTCCGCGATCGTCAGCCGTGGTTGGAATAAATAATGCGATAACGTCTCATAGCCAAGGTTGTGGTCGGTATTAAGCCTAGTCGACAACGCATTGTGTTCTTGCTGAAAATGCAAATGCGTCGCGTGTTCATTCGAATACTTGTTGTTGTCAGCTATTTGAAATATCAGGAATAATAAAAATGGTTGAGTGCGTCATGAACCATTTCAAATTTCAAGGTGATATTGTTATTCATTTGTAAATGTATGTGGCATATTATTTATTCCGACGATAATGTAGACAGCGCTCGCGGCCAGGTGTTCGTTGATCATCGGTCATGAGTGATCATGACCTACAGATCGCGCCTGTAAATCACGCCAACTGATACGCGCTTTGGCTCTGGTTCAGACGGGATTCATTCAGTGGCACTCACCGTGTTTGCATTCGATATATTAGATTTAAATCATATTTAGCGAGACGGAGCATACACTAAGCCCAAAAATTGTTTTAGTATTCCACATTACCTGTAAAACAAATCGTGTTGCGTGTACTTATTTAAAATTACTTTAATTTTCTACTCTGAAATTATTCTTTTTTAAACAATGGAACATTTTCCGAATAAATGGAACAACTGTACATCGAAGTTGTTGCAGGATAGTCGTTGGATTATTAAAACATTAATGTTTGTAATCAGCTTTATTTTATTTTAAAAGCTTTTCTATATCTCTATAGTGACCTTTACTGTGGAGCCAGTGACCTTTATTCTACCTTAATTATAGCCAATTTCGGGACTAGCCTTGTGATCCTTTATGTCGCGCAGAAAATTTTCTGAAAAACCTTCAGCTAAAATGATTATTTGCGACAAAAATTTACGTTGGTAATTTGTCAAAGATAACTTTCTCTCCTCCCTAACTTCAACTTTATATCTCTACATTGTTGCTGTTCTGTTAAACTTGATAAAATCTTCAAACATTCCACAATAGGGACTGAAGTGCTTTATAAAAACGGTTCATTGTGAAAAAGGCAATGAAACTAGGAGTTACCGAAAGTGTGCCAAAGGGCGGGACAATTCTCCCCTCTGATAACTTTGCTCTTGATTCGGCTCCCTGTCGGTTATAAAGGGGCTCGGAGACAAAGACGAAAGACTGAGTGATTTATTTTACAAAAAACGTCAGCAATTTTGTTTTCTTGCAGTAGAGTCTTACAAAACGTCTAGTCGAAACCCAAATTAAGGTACAGGGGTAAATTTATCTGATATCTTATAAAAATTTTGTATGTGATTTTTCTTTTCTGCAATAGATTAAGTTTACAATACTAATTCAAGTAACAAAAATTCGTTACCTAAGTATTTTAATTCCAAAACTTGTATATGTACGTTTTTAAAATTTTCTTTCTGATTTTTTTGGGTGGTGTCATTCGTGGTAGTCCAATAATTGTATTGTCTTTCTTTCTAAACGCAAGAACAAACCAATATAGTATGCATTGTAGCCGAGGTTTTTATAAATGGTTTCGTTACACATTATGAAAAGAATTCGAAATTGAGGACTACTATAATTTTCTTTTCCTTATCCTATTGGCAAATGTGAATAAAGGAAAGGAAAATGGTAGGATTAACTTGTATTTGATACGGAAATTCTTCGTGAAAGAAAATACGAAACTGTATGTCGGGGTGAAAGTCGGAATATTTCCGTAAATATGAATAAATTTATTTTTGTCACACCAGCCATCTATTATATTACGTTTTTGTAACAGACAATTTTTTGGGGGACAACGTGTCAATAACCTTCACCATATGTTATCCGCCTTGATGGATAATGCACCTGGTCTTACTGTACCCAAAATCGTATTCGTAACAACAAATTGGCAATGTGCATCGGCGCATTCTACCCGTGCGCGAAAAACGGTTATTGGTTTCTTATCAATGATTGTTGCGATTTGCCGAGTGTGAGCGAAATGTTCGGAAAACATATTACTTTGCATACTTATTATACTTCAGTAGAGTGTCTACAGAATCAATATACTCAATATTGATTCGAATTTACCTAAACTAAAAGATTCTTTATTTTATTTATAAAACAATTAATTTGTATTGTTATATTTTTAGAATGAATTACATAACTGGTTGGTCATAACTTTACTATCTCACTCAGCCGTGACAATAGGACACGTAAAGTGCCCGAAACATAGGTTTGCTTGAAAAATAAATATACCCTATTTAGATCCGAAACAATAGTTACATTTTCTATGTGTAGGAATTGCGAAAATTTAAGAACTCTATATGTTTTTTTAAGGAAGATAAATTTATTTTAAATAATTAATTGAAAACTCGAAAAAAATGGTTGATCGACGTAAATACGACAATTAAATGGTATTAATTAAAATTTAGTAAAATATAAACGAGATTATTAGTAAAAATCAAACGAGAAATTTACATCTAAATTTATGTAAAAGAAAAGAGTAATTGAAAATGTCAAGGCCAATTGCAATTATTAGATAACTGTGCAAATGTGTTGCAAAAAATCGAAAATTCGACATGTCTTTAAAATTCTTTTCAAAAATGATTTCTTTATCGATATTACAAAATACCATTGGACATTAAATTCTATGACTACGAGACTATGAAAACTGAAAATGTTTCAGAGCTATGGTTTAGTGCTCATTTGTAAAATCATTATTTGTACTTCTAAAAATAGACTCTTGATGTTCAACTTTGTGGCTTAAAAAGTCACTGATTCCGTTGTTAAGTCTTCACAGTGCCATGTTTAATCATCTGTTATAATTCGAATTTTATCAACATTAGTATAATTAATTTAGCACCTATTTAGCGTTTATGTTTGATATAACAAGAATCACAGGTCACATTAGAATCGACCTCAGGGTGTGTCCGAATCTGAATGGGCGGAGGTTGTGGTAATGGCACACGTATTGATGTCAAGGCGCAGCGCGAGCGCAGCTCGACTGGCAAAGACCGTGCGTCGCATCGCCAAAATTACGTGCATAGATAACACGAACTTTTATGGTAATCGAGTTATTTTTAGAAAACAAAAGTGAAATCATAACGCAAATTACATTCACCTTCCAAAATATGTATACTATACATATGTACATAAAACACTTAGAAAATATTCACGTACTCCCTTCCGTGCAATATGATGAGACATAGAATATTGAGATCACTTTTAACTTCAGTGTTCTATTTTATTATCAAAATATCTGTCAACTAACTGACAACCTGGTCAATTTTCCATTGTGGGCGCTGGGTAAGGAGGTCCCGGGGTCTATTCTCGGTAGGACCAATTTTGGAAATTAACTTTCTTTATTAGTTCTGATCTGAGTTTTCTTTGTAAAAATAACGTGGTGATTGTATACACCGACAGCCAAGTTCAATTTTACATTTATATTTTAAATTCAACTTTATGCTATGACGACCTCGGTGGCCCAACGGTTTGAACCGTGGACGCTTGGATAAAGAGGTCCCAGATTCAATTCCCGGTAGGACCAACTTGGGAAATGAAATTTTCTAAACTGATTCTGGTCTGAGTGTTCCGGGTAGTGAATTCTGTTGCTCTGGTACTCAGAGTACAGGGAATTCCCTAGTTTGAGACTGGTCTCAAACTACTGACTACTTATTTACATTCTAATCACATTATATTTATAACCATTTATTACTGAAGCATAGAGTCCGCAATTTGCAAAAATACAATATTATACAAAAAGTTAGGTGAAACCAAAAGGTTTAAACAGTGTCCCTATTCCCTCGACTTTGGAAGAGCTCCATAAAGTTCCAGTCGATCTTTTTCCGAGGTATGTATTGATCTAGGCGTGTTGATTCAGGCTTCAGAAGCACGTATACGCCTTTTATAAGTGTTTACCCAACTCTTATATAGCAATTTAGCTTTATAAGCACGATACATAGACTATACGTTAGGATAAGGACACTTGCTATTGTTAAGGCAATATAATGATAAATAAAAGCATTAGTATATTATAAAGATTCATAGTTCCATTTTGTTATGAAAACTAAAAATTTGCTATGCCAAAATTATTTTCACAGTTACAACCAGTACAGAGTATTAAAAAATCGACCTCATAAGTGCGTGGAATTATATATATTTACTGAAATCGGTTACCGGAAATCATCCCTTAGAGGTACCCTCTTTCCAACAAATAAAGAAATTAAATATACTAAAAAATAAAAATTAAAAGACAATGTCATTGACAATTACTTTATTACTGACAATTACTCTGTTGACAATTACTCTATTACTCAAATAAATAATGGTCGACAAAATTAAAAGACAATGTCATTGACAATTACTCTGTTGACTATTACTCAAATAAATAATGCTCGACAAAATTAAAAGACAATGTCATTGACAATTACTCTATTACTCTGTTGACAATTACTCTATTACTCAAGTAAATAATACTCGACAAAATTAAAAGACAATGTCATTGACAATTACTCTATTACTGACAATAATAATTACTCTATTGACAATTACTCTATTACTCAAATAAATAATACTCGACCAAATTAAAAGACAATGTCAAGTATAAAGCTTCCTTCGCATCATGCGTCTTTAAATTCGGTCGAGTATTACTTATTTGACAATAATTGTTCCAGACTGTGCCGCTCGCATCCAGCGTCTGCCGACCATCTTTCATTCATTTCATTCATTCATCCATTTTGCCGCTAATCCTCTAACCCTACCTAAAACTAATTTGGGACCAAATTTATTTCCAAATATCCGCACCGTAGAAATACAAAAATATCTATATAGTATATATCTGTATAGGTACATAAAGTTTTTTCCA